GACTCAATGGCTTATCGGCATTCATCCCATTGTTTAAAACAATCAAAATATCACTTTTGGTAACGCCATGGCACTATAATCATATCAAATTTATGAAAATCACACCTAAAGTTTTTCTTTGTCTAGTTCGAGTATAAATAAAAAAGAGCTTAATAAAGTAGAGAAAGTGTTTGTGTTGCGATGCCACTTGTACTAACCGGCTCCTTCTGGAGAAGGAGTCAGCTGGGGGCGAGGCAGGCGTTGCTAATTGGTCCTTAGGGTCCGAAGACAGTTTTTGAAGGATGGCCCAGACACGGTCCTCCGATGATTTGTTTGCCCACAAGATCGTGTTACAGCCGGGATTTACGCCCCGGCAGATAAATCGAGACTTTTACGGCAGGCAAAGATCAAGGTTGGGCCATAAATCGGGGTGGTTTTCACCCTCACGCTCAAATGATACTCCAACCCCGTTCGGTTATTTATGAGAGTTTTTAGCCGGGTCAATTCCCGTCTAATTACGGGCGTCACAGTCTCTCCCATTCCTTGTGATTTAATATTCAAATGTCTGCTCCTCTAGTGACCCTTTGCTTTTCCCACGGCTATTAGTAAATAGCGGGAGGGAAAAAAAGACTTGTTTGTCGTCCCTCTTGTTGGTAAACACGATCCGTGCTTGTTTGGGTAGAAATCAGCACGTTTCCGGCCGGTACCTTCCGTCAATCTAGCCAAGAACGGGCGAATTATAAGCGAAATGTCTTCCGTTCGATCCGTGCCAACTACAGGGATTATAGGTACGCCTCAGACACTCCAATAAAACAACCCAAACAAGTTTCGAATCAAGCAATTCTAAGTATAAACTAGAAACATAAATAATTATTTGCTCCATGATTAACCGAATTTATGTTGGAAGTATAGGACAGCGAAATTGGTAAATCAAACAAAAAAAGTGTTTTTTCTCTCTACTAACATTACTAACCGACATTTCTTCGTGTCCGATTAATGTGGCTAATCGATGGACTTGTTAATTATTTAAATACTTATCAGCTTTGTGTAACCTAAGCGCCAAAAAAAGTGGAAAAAAGGAAAACCAACAACCAAGGAAGATACTGTTGGTACTTGGACGGATCTAGGACGCATGAAGAATGTATGTACTCGAAAAATACAGAGAATATCGCCAGTTAGAAAACTGTAAATAATATTGTTTTCTAATTCGATCGTTTCTGACCATTTTGGTCCGCCAAGCCTCGCTGTTTGGATCCGTCAAACCCATTTCGCTATTTTCACAGGAGGGTTTATGAGTCGAACGAAACCGCAAGGCTAGTTAGACCTCTAGTTTTCCACAAACCTATTTCTGTTCAGAAGGAGAAACAAAAATATGCTGGTCCGGTATAGGTAGTAAAATCAAACGAAACTCAGCTGCTAGTCAATTATAATTAGAAACCCGAAGTTTGAAATTTTTGGAGACTACAATTAATTTAATATCTTTCATATAATTTATGATTAATTTATTTTTACAAAGCACTTATGTATACTACTTAAGTTTTGAATGTTTTTAATTATTGATAAAAAATTGACGTACGTTTACGAGATCTCAATTTGCAACAATGAACCTTTTGTTATTAATTTTATTGTTTTATTGTTGATGGTTAAATAAGCAATAATTTAATCTTTTATTTTCAAGGTTTATCCGTCCTACTGGCCGACATGAATAAATCTGCGGTTGCAGTTTCTTTGGGTCAACCTGCTTGTTGCACTTGGGCGATGAGTCAACAAAACTTTTTGTTGTCGGATTGCATTGATTTAACATTAATATCCTACGTGATTTATGTTAAAGTCCTTAATAAGTTTTTCCCTTAGGTTGCAGTCAAATATTTCGAACATAATTGGAAAAACGAGGGAAAACAAGGGTGTTCAATTTTAAATAATTTGAATGTCTCGGGTTGGCATCGCTTTGTTTTGATCCACGACACTTTGTCCAGATATCCCATGACGGTGGCCTACATCTTGGACTGTGATTCATGGCTTATCTCATGACCCGTTTCTAGGATAATAGGGCGATTAGAGGGATTTCTTCGATTCCTTTGGATCATGACTGAAAAGGCTGAGACGTTTCCTGCACACTCATTTCACAGGGCTGCGCAAAAACAGATCATACTTGCCCAACGATGATTCAAATTGTAGGGTATTTCAGGGATAACTGACAAACAATGAACATTTATAAGTTTTCAAACAGCAAAAAAGCCTATCGATGTTATGACGAGGGCTAACGAAGTCAAACGACCTTTCGAGAGTTTTTTGCTAAATTTGCCACCCGTGCCCATGAAATTTATTTAATTTTTTTTCGAAGGTGTTTTGAACATTTTTGTTTGTGTTCACGTAATAACTATATAATTTTTTTAAACCAAAAAGACGAAGTAGAAAACTTTGGGATATTCACGTAAAAGTTGTATCGTGATAGATGTGTTATTGGCAATTTAGAAAAGTAGAAAAAAAAGTTGATTGTTCTTGTAATTGACTACTACCAATTTTTTAATGCCAAAAAGAAAAAGTGGATATATTTATGTTATTCACATAAACGGTGTATCGTGTTAAGTGTGTTATTGGCTATTTAGAAAGCACAAGTATGCATCAGATTTCGAGATTCACATCTGCTATATTTGGTAAAAATGTCCATGAAAGTTACTCAATTTAAAAAAAAATTGAATGTTCTTGTCATTGATTAATATCAAATATTTTTAATGCCAAAAAGAAAGAGTGGATAAATTTAGGTTATTCATGTAAAAGTTATATCGTGTTAAGTGTGCTATTGGCTATTAAGAAGTACAAATATACGTGTCAGTTCGAAATTTACATCTAAATTTGCTAAACGTATCCATGAAGGTTATCCAATTTTTTCAACGCAAAAAAGACATTGTGGATAGATTTAGGTTATTCACGTAAACGTTGTATCGTGTTAGGTGTCTTATTGGCTATTTAGAAAGCACTAGAATCAGATTTCGAGATTCACATCTGCTATATTGCTAAACATGTCCATGAAGGTATTCAATTAAAAAAAAAAAAAAATTTGATTGTTCTTGTAATTGATTAATATCAAATTTTTTAATGCCAAAAAGAAAAAGTGAATACATTTAGGTTATTCACGTAAAAGTATCGTATTAAGTGTGTTATTGGCTATTAAGAAGGTACAAGTGTACGTGACAGTTCAAGATGTACATCTGCTAAATTTGCTAAACATATCCATGAAAGTTATTCAATTTTTGTTAAACAAATTTTGTTTGTTCTTTTACTCGACTAATAGCAATTTTTTTAACGCGAAAAAAGACAAAGTGGATAGATTTAGGGTATTCACGTAACTGTTGTGTCGTGTTAAGTGTGTTATTGGCTATTAAGAAAGTACAAGTATACGTGACAATTCGAAATTTACATCTGCTAAATTTGCTAAACATATCCATGAAGGTTATTCAATTTTTTTAAAACAAATTTTATTTCTTCTTTTACTGGACTACTAGCAATTTTTTAACGCCAAAAAAGACAAAGTGGGTAATTTTAGGGTATTGATGTAAACGTTGTATCGTGTTAAATTTGTTACTGGATATTAATAAATTACAACCGTACAAGTGTACGGGCGGGTTCGAAATTTTCATGCAATAAATTTTTTAAACGTATCCATGAAAGTTATTCAATTTTTTCAAATAAGTTTTGATTTGTCCTTGTACTAGACTAATACCAAGTTTCTTTAATGACAAAAAGACAAAGTCGATGAATTTAGGGTGTTCATGTAACCGCGTAGCGTGTTAAATGTGTTATTAGCTATTAAGAAAGTACAAGTATACGTGAAAGTTCGAGATTTCCAGCTGCTAAATTTGTTAAACCTGTCCGTGAAAGTTATTAAATTTTTTCCGTTTTGATCGTTCTTGTACTCGACTAATAACGATTACTTTTTTTTTGTTGAATATGTTTTGTGATTTGATTATTGATAATTCAATTGATTATTTTATAATTACAAAGATAAGAAAAAAGGCTGATAGATTATCTGTTTAATCGTGTCTTGATGGAAACCGTTTGGTGTAAATGAATTTTATCCTGCTTTGACATCCTTTTTGTAGTTTCTCTTCCTCAATTTTGTTTCTGACGTTCTTATCTTTTTATGAACAGTTCCATAACAAACAAGTTACACTTGGAGAGTAAAGCAAAGCGTAACCGTAAATAGTTGAAGAAATAGAACACTACCCGATCCCAGACAGTATTTCATAACAAATAGCACACTTGAGTCACAAACATACCCGACTTTAGCATGTTTAACACGATTAGCAAATTTTAGGTGAATCCCTTGTTGTCCTATGCGTGATAAGCGTTACAAATGTATTGTTTTTGTAAAGAGGGAAAAATGTATGTACTCTATAAAAAATTTAATAAATAAATGAAAAAATATAGCGAGCCATTGTGCTTGTACAACAAATTTTAATTTTGTAATTTGGGAAGGAGTATGTGTGGACGTTGTAGTAAAAAGCAAGTTGACTGCGCTAGTTCCGGCGAATAATTTTTAAAAAGTTGGCTAAAAGACTTCTTGTTTTTCACAAAAACTGGTGAAACGGCTCTAATATTAGACCATTAAGAGGACTGGCGCAGTTTAAAACGCATTTGCCAGTTCGCAATTCGGGCAAACAACATTACAGAAAGGAGCCGAGTTTCCAGCCGGCCCGCACGCTGGAAAGCAACACATTTCCTTTCTTTATCGGGCCAGCGGGAAAACAACGACACAGTCACAATCTATGAGTCATGCGCTACTTACCATTTCCCTCTTCTTCCTGCACGCTTGCAATAGAAAAAAAAGTACAGTTTAACAATTTGAGAGAGCCAATTTTCATAATCTATCAGCCCGATCGGGCTCAAGGCCGTGGATTCGAGACGCTTCGAAAATTCGCACTGCTTATCTCTTCGGCCGAAAATTGAAAAACCCCGGTTGTTTTACCTGTTATTTTTCAATTTCCACGATTACCCTTAACGATTCTAGATATACTCACAGGCGGAGAGCGAGGTGGCGGCAGGGAACTGGTTGTGCCCGGAGGCGGTGGTGGGAGCGGCCCAGATCTCCTGGTGGGTAGGCATATAGTTGGTAGCCGTCGGGTACGGATTCCTGAACTTGTTCGTGAACGCTGGAAGAGGGTTGTTGAACTTGATACCAGCTGAAGTGCTGAAGTCGTCTCCTGGAACTGGAAAAGAGACAATTTCAGACGATGTCCAAGTGATGAGAAACGTGAAAAACATTCCCCCCTTCGACGTCCTTGCGTCATTCGCCTTCTTAGACACAACGGCACGGTCGATGCGATCCCGCATAGTTTTCGCAATGAAATCAACAACCGTATACCGAACATTTTCTCCAATTTGTTTTAAAACTCACAAAGCCAACTGCAAAAGCTCTCGCTATGATAAGCACAATGTGTCAACAGTACTTATGGAACAGACGTTAGGTCCAATAAAAACCAATAGCTAAATACAAATTCACCCCCTTTTTTATAGTGTTATTTCGACTGTTTAACTATTTTTTTCTTAAATCCAACAGACCAATGGGAACTTGAAACAAGAGACAAATTGATAAAATACAAATTCAACCACCTTTGTTTTTCTCGAATTTAGAAACGTCACGAACTTCCACAAATCTCAAAAGTTCAAAGCTCAACAAAACGTAGCTATTCAAACATTAGGCAGCATACAAAGACTAGCAAACCTAGCTATCACAGGGGCAATGAGAACAACCCCCACAAGTGCACTAGAAACTCTGCTAAACCTACTTCCACCGGAAATTTTCATACAAGGAAGAACTAGGAAAAGCAAATTTATGCTCCAAAAACAATTAAATTGGATGGCAACTAAACAATTCGAGCACACAACAATAATTAACAAAATCAGACCCATCCTAAGAAAGGAGGATTCATCCCGGAAACATTCTTTACAACATCCTATAAAGTCTCAGTAGACGATAAAGGAAAGGAAGAACCTAGGAGAGCATCAGATACAATGATATAGTTACAGATAGCTCCACAACAAACGAAGGATTGGGATCGGGTTATTTCTGTACAAACCCAAAATATGAGCAATCAAACTATTTAGGGATGTACACTTCGGTCTTTCAAGCAGAAATACATGCCATCAATGCTTGTGGCCTAGAAAATCTTAAAAGAGGTTACACTGACAAAAAATCCTCATAAGATCTGATAGCCAAGCAGCGATTAAAGCATTAGCATGTAAAAGAATTACATCAAAATTAGTCAGTGAATGCATCCAAAATCTCCAAAACCTGGGGAAACACAACAACCTGATGATTTCTTGGGTGCCCGGGACAGAGGAATTTTGGGTAACGAGAAAGCAGACAGACTGGCCAGAGGAGGATCTGCAAGACCATACATAGGACCCGAACTTGGGATAAAAAAGACAAATATAGAATCCTCCATTGCAGAATGGATCCAAACAAAACAAAAGGAGAAGTGGATAAACTCTATCGGTGCTAGACATAGTAAACTTATGATGAAACAACCCTCACCAAGACTGGCAAAATCACTGCTACAACTGGAAAGGTCTACACGCAGAGGAGTGATAGGACTACTAACCGGTCAATGGCATCTGAGAAAACATCTACATAACATGGGTATATGCAACGATGATCCCATTTGCAGATTATGTAATGAGGAGGAGGAAACAGCCACTCATATCATCTTCGAATGCGAAGCAACTGCTCAATGGAGGTTCAACCAAACATACGAAAAAAAACTTAGGGAATGAAATTGTAGCAGCAAAGTCAATGACCTGATACTTCTAAGGAGAAAGATAGAGTCTTGCACTGAACTAAAGAACTAGGAAGGTACAATAAGCAAGAAGGATGCAGTGCCTGGGGAGTACAAACCCTGCTTCCTAGTATCCTTATCACCATACCATACCAATACCAACAAATCTCAAGATAAAGGATTCGACGAGAGATCCATCATGTGTTTAATTTTTTAAAGTCTTTTTGGATAAAACATAATGGGATTCAATAAACAGCTGAATCGTCTTCTGCCAAATAAGCAGGATTTGAAATTCTCTAGATTATTCAATAAAGTACTTGAGAATAGGAGTCGAAGTACAATGGGATTTTTCGAGGTCTGCTGAGTGAAGAAGGTTTTTAAGAAGATTTTAACGTAAATAGCTTACCTTATTTAAAAAATAATCTATTTTAACATAAAATTCTTGTCTTATACGAATTTTCACCAAGAAATTTGACTGTAAAAAGTAAATTATATTAAGGGTTTAGCCTTGGAAAATGTGTTATAGAAAGGGTTCTTATAAAATTCTCAATTTTTGGGCAACCAACTCATGTAAGACAGGCGTTTTAATTTAAAACCAATATACGAATTTTAATAATGATATTTTTTAGGCTGTAAGTTCATTTAAGAAGAGCTTTTTACACTAAAACCTAAACGACTTTCACTTTTTAGGGTGAAAAATTCTATGTAAGACAAGCTTTTTAAGTTAAAGCTTACTCTTTTTGAGGTATGATAAGCGTTTTAGGCCTTGACACTGTCGATTTCGTAACTTTTTAGGCTAAAAGTTTAGATCAGGCAAGCGATGATTAAAAACCATTTTTTTTTAAGCATAAAATTTCCTCTGTAAAACTTTTTTTAGGTTAAAACCTACTTTTTAAGTAAAAAATCTCCTTTATGAGAAGCTTTTTAGATTAAAACCTATTTTATAGGCATAAACTCTTCTGTAAAAGAAGCTTTTTGGGTTAAAAACCTAATTACACTATTAAAAAAATATCCTGCAAAATAACTGTTTAGGTAAAATCTACTAGTTTTATGAACTTGACGACTGTTGAAGTTGACTCTTTGTAAGTTAAAAGTTTACGCCAGACAAGCTTTTTTAGGTTAAAACATTGGTCGATCCTATCAAGCTGTTTACCAAAAAACAGCAAAACTTTTAGTTCGGTGGTGCGAGAAGAGTCTTACAATTGTTCCGTAGACATCAACACCCTTCCTGGTCGTTCTGGTCCCGCTGTTTTAGTCTATCAGGATATGTACGGCTTTTCGCCATGCTCAGTAGTAGGCTTCTCTCGCAAGAAGCAAGGTAGGTAGAACAAAAGAAAAATGAGACCTGTGTTGAGTTTGTATGCTTTAGTAGCTCTACATGCTTGATGAAAACAATGAACTAGACGTGCCAAGATGATCAGAAACGACCAAACAATGTACAGAAATTGATTTTATATTTCGCACATGATGGCACGAGTAGAATCTTAGAATGTTCCTGGGGTATCGGCACGGTGTCGGATTTGGCCAGGCAGATATGCCAAAACTGTTCCTCCTCTTATGGACATCTTCCGAATATGGCGAATTCTTTCAGATAGCGTTTTTTCCTTTTCTGTCTTTCGACAACCCTAGGAAATTCAACAGTTTGCAACTGAAACCCCCGAGAAATGGTTCTTTTCGAATCACATCCGGGTCAAAGGCTCGCAATCGAGGCTATGAGCTGGTCTGCTGACTCCCATCTATATCCATGACTGTGCCCTATCAGTGTATTTCGTAATTTGTCCTAATAGGAAATTATCGCCCCTTTAGCCTCCCAATTCCGAATTATCCACTAGGATTCATTACAAATTTATCAAAGAAACAATTTCCATAAAGCACTTGAAAGAGAAATTTGAAGATTAACATATTTTAAATGATATTTCTTTGAGTTTAAACCGAAGGATTATCAGCTTAAAAAATATTTATGTCCACTCCTTTCCTATGTTGTTATCTATCCGTTAAAAAATTACATGGATGATGATTGTACAAAGTACAAAAATTTATTATTTGGATATGGTGAAATGCGGTCTTGGTGATGTAGGTTTATAAAAACATTTTCTTTATTGTGCCAACGTTTCGATCTTTATTTAGATCATCTTCAGGGCTCTAAGTGTGTGTTTTCTATGTAGATGTGTCACGGTTGTGTCTTCAACACTCGAAACACGACGAATAAAGAAAATGTTTTTCTAAAACTTAATTAATTGAAAATAATTTATTTGTTCAAGCGGACCACGAAACCTAATAAATGTAGTGAAGCATACTTCATTAAAGTTCTCCGTGGCCATTTCATTTGTCGCCGAGAATCGAATAGATTACACATTTGAAAAATTTCAAAAAGGAGGGAAAATTCAAAAAGTGGGGTTGAGAAGGAAAGTTGGTGTCCGAGTGGATCGAAGTCACAGCAGCTCAAGTAGTAAAGCAGCGGCGTACTTAGCCGAAGGTCGTGGGTTCGAATCCCGCTTGTGACGCTGACTTTTTTATCTCAACCAAAACCTTAATTAATTGAAAAGAATTTATTTGGTCAAGCGGACCACGAAACCTAATAAATGTTCTAAACCTTCACCCGACAAGACCGCATCTCACGATCTCCAAATAATCATTAATTAACGGTCACTAAATGCTACACGTAAAAAATCTAAGTAAATGTAAAAATTAAGTTGAAACTACAGAAAAAATAGACCAAATTATTATTTATTTCATGAAAATTAAATTTTATGTGTATTAAATCAATCAGGATTTATGTTGGTCGTTCCTCGATTCACTGATTCGTTCCTTCAACGCGGAAATATAAAAGGCAAAAACTAGTTGTAATCGAAGTAATTGAGAAGTATTTATTTTCAAAAAATCATGCAGGGTATTAAGTTTAACCATTGGGGTGAAGCGAATAAGGCTGTTAAAGTTATTTTGAAGCAAAATACAATTTCAAAGCTATTAAAATGTCATCGAATTAAAAAGCAGCCAGGATATGACAAATCCTTGATGATTTCATCATCGCTTTTATCTGCGTTTAAAAAGTGTTCAAATTCCGCAATGTTTTTGAGAAAAATTAAAGAAGAGTTGCTGAAGATAGAAGGACATCCATGCTGATGCAGATAATTTGGAATAGATTTGACATTGGGTACGAGATTTTGGTTTATTTCTTTTGACACATTGATAGATAAATCATGTTTATGTTTACTCACCGTGAGGCCAGATGTGAGGCGTAGGAGCTGCGTTTTCGTTTGGGTCCGGCGAGCTGGATATGGCGCCGCTGTAGTAGTTACCTAGGGCGCCATTGTAGCTGGTGTTGCTCGTCCTGTACATCGCGCTGGAAGAAGTCAGACCATGAGAAACCGGGCTGGATTGTTAAGGACACGCTTTTTTTAAATATATTAAAAGTGATCGGCCTTAAAAAGAGTCAAATATTTTGTTTTTCTAACTGGGTTTGGATAAGATCGTAGATAGGTGTTTGCCGTCGGGCTGTCCGGCTGCGACTAAGGAGTATCCGCGGTACTGCAAGGTCCGCTTTTTGTGCGTGATAAGAAGAACAACAGACGGAGTGTCGTCGGTGCTTCACGAGAGCGAGTTTCTCCGGCGGCCGATAATACGAGACTGAGCGCGATACCCGCAGCCCGATACGGAGATGGTCTGCGATCCGATCGCGTCGCCCGTTTCAGACGAATCGCACGTATTTTCTGCCCCCGGGATTGCGCAACGTCCAGGTTCAACGACTAGTCCGACCTGGACACGAACCGCCGGTAAACATCGAATTTTGTTTTCGGTAAAAGTCATTGGCATCACCTTGAAAGGTGGCGATAGCTCACGATTTTCTCGGGGGCTTTCGACCGCCTCTCGGAACACCTCCAGGATCGCAGGACACCGGATGTGCCTTTCGAATCGACCGCTAATTTCAAACGAGGCAAAAATTCCGTTCAATCCCGCCTTCATCATCATTATCGTTATCTTACTGACGATGTACGTAAATTAAAATATTTGCAGCATCTGTCTAATTACACTCAGAAGTTCGTAGTATTCAGCAATTAATGAATATAGATTTAAATAAATACCAGTTGTTATTCTTGCGAGAAGAAAACCCATAATTTTCCGCCTATCTTTCACCTTACTTAGCACCTTCTTCGCTTAATGTAAAATATTTGTTATAAAAACACATTGTTCAGCGATAAGTTCACAGAATGTTTAAGTACAGGCCTTCCGTGAGCATAATGCGGTTTATGATAAGGATCAGGCTTGAAAACCTGCAAAAAGGAAAACCTCAATGCTCAGTAGAATGCTTTTATTTGGACTTCAGGACAGAACTTTGTTTTTAAAACGATTTAGCACCATGATAAGTAAGATTTTCGAAATATGTTGCAATTATCGGCCTTCGTTAATGAACTCAGTTAGTTTTATGTTGAGGATCAGGCGTGAGAACAAAAAGAAGAAAAAGTTCAATTCTCTGCCCAGTTAACGCTTCCAACATGACTTTAGGTTAAAATTTTGTTTTAAAATCATTGTAGGATTCTGCTAATTAAGAAGGTCGTAGTTATTCGCTAGTATAGGCATTCAGGGATAAATTCGGTAGTTTTTCCGAAAGAAGGAATGAGAGCGCAGGAAGAACAAGTTCAATTCTCTGTCCAGTTTTAAGCAGTACTTAACGCTTTCAACATGACTAGGTTAAAATCTTTTTTAAAAACTTTGTACGACCCTGCAGATTAAAGATGATAGTAGTTAGTTGCTAGTATGTACCTTCAATGATGAACATTGTTAGTTTTTGAAGACGGTTGCGTGCGGAACCAGCAAGAAGAAAAATCTCAACTCTGTCGAATTTTCTCCAATATTTAATACAATCAGCAGGACTTTAGGTCAAACCTTTTTTTTAACGCTGCAGAACTTCGCAAAGGAAGAAGGCTATACATCATTCATTGTCTTCAGCGATAAATTTAATATTTTTTATTTAGTTCAGACGTGAGACATACAGAAACCTAAAAAGTGTTCTCTGTTAAACCTTCAGCAGTATCTGCTACTTCAAGGATGTACTACTCTTCTTTGAAGAATTTCGTTTTTATCTCTCATAAGAATCCGGCATGAGGCCTACAAGGAGAAAACCTCATATCTACGTCGGACTTGCAGCTGTTTTTAACCCTTTCACTAAGATTTTAAAATTTAGACATGATAAGGCTTTATGACAAAATTTTGTTTTAAGAACACGCTAAACAAGAGGTTAATAGTTTGTTACTAGTACATATGTGACTTCAGTGATGAATTTCGTTATTTTTCCAGATAGATCAGTCTTGAAACTTGCAAGAAAAAAGCAAAACTCAAATTTTCATAGAACCTTCGGCTGTATTTTGTTATTATTATTATTTTTAATTTGAGGTCCAAATTTTATATTAAAAATGATGATGCAACACAAATTTGTGAAACTTGCAACTTGGGAACACTTGATATTTTTCTCGAAGATATCGAGAATTGAAAAGTAATCCTTAGTTAATAATGATTATATACAAGTAATAAATGCAGAAGATTCTTGGACTGTTTAGCTCGTCAAAAAACTCTGGCGCTTTTGATTTTAGTATTAATCTTATCTACATGTAATTTCGAAGAAGGATTTGGTAGACAAGAGCTTAAGAACTCATCTCAATATTTTTATAGCCGAAATTAAAGTTGATGGTGGGTCTGCGAGTCGGTGAAGAATTGTCGAATCGGTATTGCACCACTGGGTCCGCCACTCAAAGACAGTCCCTCACTGAAGGCGGCTGAGCCACATCATAACCCGCGAACGAAGACGGACCCAGTGCCGGTTCAAAGAAATAAATCATTGAAAACTGCTGCTTCCTTCAAAGACCAACGACGTATAACATCAAAGAGAAAATTGCTGTGATCTATAAGGATATTTTTATTTACGATCTGTCGATAAAGATAATTAATGAAACGCATGTCGATTCTAAAATATAACGTAGATATAAATGAAATATGAGAATTTTGCAATATTCCTTAGCAAGGGACATTGGGAAAAAAGATTTTTTTAAAAACAATGATTTTTGTTCTAAAAGAAAAATGCATGATTAATTAGAAAATTGTTAAAAATTAAATTGACAACTGAATTATCTTCTTGAAAAAGTAATAAACACAAAACGACTAGAAGGGCTACTGAACTTCAGAAAGCTTCCAGAAGGACGAGATCAGTAAAGATTAAGTATTACCAATTTAGAAGAAGAATCTGTCCACAAATATTGCCACTATGGGGTTCCTAGCGGATTTCGATTTTCGTCTTTATAAAATGGATGTTCGGTCAAACAATAGTCGAGAATTGGTAAAATTATACCAAATCCTATTCTGGGTTAGTACTAGGATAAGTGGGACTACTGTTATATTTTGGTTTTTAAGCGATTCAGTGGGAAAATAGGCCAATTTGCTCGCATTTACAAATTGTTAGTGTATTAAATGTTATAATTTTTCGATTCATCAACTCACAATAAAAAAAAAATTGGTCAAATTGTTTTCTATGTTTTTTTTTCGTTCGAGAAAAACTTCCCGCCGGCCTCGTACCGAACGTATCTGTTCTTAACTATTTTAATGGGATTTTAATGCTGCTGGGAGCGTTCCCCCGGAGAAAATTCCAGGGAGCCGTCTGTTGAAAGACAGTGGCGAAAAAATCAGGAGAACTATCAACCACAGAATGAAAATCTTAACAAAATTGACAGTTTTTTCTAACTCGATAGTATTGTGAGATTTCCGGTTGAATACTGCACAGTGATGAAACTATCGTTTGGTCGTTTTCGATCATACTGATCCGATTAGTCTCGCTGTTTTGACCTATCGTTTTAATAGAACAAAACTAAGCAAATAAGTATTTAATAATACAATAGTACACTCAAGAAGACTAATTAAAACACATTTCTTGATAAAATAAATCTCTGCATAAAAGAAAACGTTACGATAAAGAATGGACAATATTAACGTACATAAATTACTAAATAAATAGCGCATAGAGGAAAATGATATTCAAGTGTTAGACAATTAAATAAAATATTTTTCTTAGTAAAAAACCTCTTAAAAAAGCGAAATTCCATAAAAGAATGCAAGAGAGCAAAAAGTATATTTCACGACGACGTAAATAACGGAAGAAAATCTAGTAAATATATATTGAATAGAACAAGAAACTACAAGCATACGCAATAAGACTAACAAGGAAAGTTACGTGGGATCACCAATTTTTATTGAAACTTTTCATAAAAACAAAACACTTAAAATAACATTTTAACATTTAGACAGGATAACATAATTTATGAGTGTGCACCGGAGGAGAGAACAGTTCTCACTTCTGACTGGACTCATGCTCGATACATGGCCAAACTCTTCTTAACATTTAGTAGGGTGTCGTGCCTAGGCTCCATATAGAGAGCGTGTAGGCATGTCAACTGTAAATTATTCACCAAAGGAGGGATCATTGATTTCAATGCAACATTTTTCGATAATACTAGTTCGAAAAATATTAGACACGTGTACAAGCGTTCTGCCAATCGACCATAGGAGCCGAGAAAAACACAATTTTAAGTCATTTACATAAATTTTTTAAATATAATTTTCTGTCTTTATTGTGCTTGTATTTCATGGTTATTATATCGATATGTTTATTTTACCTAGGGTAAGAAAATAAACAATACGGTTTTTTTACTGAGTCTAGGTTATAATGTATTTTACGTAGGGTAAAAAAATAATAGGGTGGTATTTAAATGAGCTAAGATATACAAAAAGCAACAAAAACCAAAAAGCTCTTTTAGTAAAGTAGGCCAAGAACATTTGTTTTGGTAAAAAACAATTTGGATTTGTTTTAAATACCCTTTAAAGCCCTCAAATACGGATTTCGATAGCAAACAAAAATTAGACATTCTTAGACTGAATTTTTTTCAGAAGCAATTAATTTTTGTCCTAGGATTTTCAATGATCCGCCTTAAAAATTCTTAACTCTTAATGAATTTATCTAATATTCTCGGCAATATAACCAGTAGAAATCTGCATTTCTCTTTTTTTTTATTCAATGTCATAATGTTTATAATACATTAATAAAAGTGAGAAAAATAAAGAAGAAATGAACCAAAACTCCCTCAACGTTTTGTTTTATATTTCCAGTTATAATTTAAGTACCGAGGCTAGGTTTGTGCCAGGACATATAATTTATAACATTGCAAACCAGTATAAAGTTTTCTGTCGATTAGTGGAGTTTTTTAAAATTATCATTATTTTTATGATTTTCGAAAAAAATAGGGAGGTTTTAGAAGGCGATAAAATTTAAGGGAAACAAAATTATTTTTTGATTTTTCCAAA